ATGAGTACAAATATTTGTATATGTCGATTCGATGGAACAAAGATTTTTATAACAAAAGAGATTTTTATAACAAAAAAGATTTTTATAACAAAAATTTTTATAACAAACTACATTTATGTAAAAAAGATCAATAATATATATATGTATAATATTTAAAAAAATTAAATATTTATCTTATAGGAGCTGAAATTGTAATTTAGCTACTTGGGGAATGAGTTGTGATGAAGAAGCTGTTCCAGATTACTGTGTTTTTGCAGCACAGTATGTAGAGATAGCATGCAGTTTCGATAGAGCAACATTGTTATTTCGAATATTATTCCACCACGCTGTGCAAAACATGGGTGCTGGTTTTTTTAGGTGGAACTTCGCTGTCAAGCAGCATTCACAGTAATAGTGGTCTGGGCTGCCCACTTTCCCCACAGTCGCAGATGTCTGTGCTTGGAAAAGACCAAACCTATGCAGTAGGCTTTGTACAGGTCCATGTCGTCCTGCTTAGGAAATGCGACATACTGCCAGTTTTGCTCTGCAGATCCATGCTTACACTTGGGAGCTTGCAGTGTTCCGTTCGACGACCCGTTGTTGCATCATTCCAGGGGTTTGCCACGTCTTATAAGAAGTTTGCATGTGGAATGCTTTACCAGCGAGGTGGATGAGTGTTGTTGGGCACTCAAGTAAGGATGCACTATTGGCAGCTTCTTTAACCACAACGTCGCACTTTCATTTCCTAGTATTAAGTGCATTGGCACCCAACAGAGTACAGAACGAAAAGGTATAGGGATACTAAGGAGAGTTTTCTGTATTTTGTTAATCAGAGGGCTTCTGCTGTGCATGCTTGAAAGTGCTTGGAGGCTTGAGGCGGAGTCCGTATAAATATGAACTTGATTAAGACCATTTCTACGACTGTGGATGATTGCTGCGTGTAAGGCTATGAGTTCTGTCTGAAACATTGAATCACTTTCGTTCAGTCTTCGCTTCCAGGTGAAGATAATGCTGCCTTTACCCAATTCGCAGAATCCACATCCTGTGCCAGCCTTTGTCTTAGATCCATTAGTGTATAATGCATGATCATTTTGCGCAGGAGAATCTGAGTTTATATGGATGGTGTCCATTAGGTCAAATTGTGCTGGGTGACAAAGATAACGAGATTGGTATTTTTCAAAGTCTATGTGGATTATGCTCTGTCCCCACAGTGATGTATTTTTATTAAGACTTGTAGCTTTTATCACTGCGGTTTACATTTGAACATTTATTGCAGACAGCAATAAATGTTCACTAAACTCACAACTAAGGTAGAAAATTAATTACTCAAACTCAGAAGCTAACAAGAAACTTCACTCCCGCTGAAAATTAACTTCCCACAAAAAAAAAAAAATCAATCATCCTAAATAAACTATCACTGGTCCCGCGCAACTTAAAAACTAAGCAAAATTTATTTTAAGAAACAAACATTTCAGAATTTTTCAAAAAAAAAAAAAATTCAAAATTCAAAAATTTTTTAAGCATTGGCACAAATTCCATAAAATCATTAACACACTTCAAGAAGTTAAAATAAATTATTTCTCGAACACAAAAATACTGCTCTGACATTAAATCAATAATTAAAATTAGAAATCTACAAAGCATTATTTAAAATGCAATAGCAAAATCAACTCATTAACACAAATGCTATTCTCACCAAAACTTTAAACTAAACGATAAATGGATCAAACATCTAGGTGAGCGCAAAATTTTATCATTTATGATCAAAAATGTAATATTCATACACATAAAAAACAATATAAAAATCAAATATAAAATAATACTCAAATAATATGCACAAAAATTATTCTAGTGGTCTGCCGGTCGCGAGGTCACGGCACCATTGTTATATAGAAAATTTTTGTTTTTATAACTATCTTAAACCTAGACTTACTGACTGTGGTGCCGGATAAAATACTCAAAAATCAAATAATTCATATTCAAAATCTAATCATATAACCAATTATCATACCGACATTCTTATAAACATTATCAAATTCTACTGTATCATAAGTGTAACACTAGTATTTTCTCCAATTTCATCTTCTAACTTTAAGTATTTAGCATGGTAATTCCCTTTAAGAACACTGATAATTTTCACATCGATTAATTAATTTAGTAATTACTCAGATTTCAGCAAACATTAACATGAAGACTCTGGCTTGCTTAAGATAATTATTAAAGTAAAAACAAATAAAAAAAAAAACAAATCACTTACGGGGTGAAGTCCATACCGCAACACTCACCATTACTCAGGAATACCTTCGTATACTGATTTAATACGGTGATCTGACAGCTCCACAGATCGTCCAGCGTCCAAAGTTTACTCGAGCACCACATTATTCCTGCTGTCCTTTATTCACAAAATCATCGTTTAATGGAGGCAGACAGTTCTTGCGAATTATAAAGATGACTTGGTTGCACTGAAGCTGTCCTTAGAAAAATAAATTCCAGAGCATGGAATGATGATGAAAAAAAAATCGACGCAGCTGCTGACACAGGCAGAATAAACAGCATCGCACACCTTAGACGGATTCTACACGAGTCTCTTTCATTCTGGAAGCCTCGAAACGCACGATGAAAAACGTAGAGCACCTTTGGAACAAAATCTAATTAGGAAAGTCAAAGTCGGTAAAAAAACAGGAATACTGCATCAGGATGTCAGGATCCACCAAGAGATCTGCATTACAATTCTTGGAACTAAGAGAAATCGAAATTTCAATTCTGCTGAAGCTGTACGCCTTATGCCAGCGCAAATTTTCGCCTGAGCTAAACGCCTTATGTAGAGAAAATCATACCCGCTGCCGGCTGGTTCTACGCGGCCGCGAGAGCAAGACCCGAAGGGTCAAGCCCCACTTTTTCTCCTCTTACTCTTCTTGAAAATCAGAATCAGAATAATCTCTAGCCTGGTGCAAGCACCCAGGAAATCTCGGTTTCTCCGCCTCTGTGAGTTCATAGGCTTTCAAAAAAAACATAAAATTAAATCTTACCAATCCCGGAATTTTATGTTACTAAATTGAGAAAATGGCACACCCATGACGAATCAAACACCAGAAAATCTGACAATGAAATCCGAAAAACATCTGTACACATAACGTGAGAAAAAAAATGGACCCCCCAACTAACAAGCGGAAACTAAGCTTTGCGAGCAATCCAATTACCTAAACTTAGTACACCCCCACTGTCTTGAAGTACGCAACACAACTGCAACTTTAACAAAGCGACAGGAAGACAATTTCCGTTTCACACGCCATGAGCTTAAAAGAGGCGACACACCAACCTACTGCCTCCAGTGTTAGTGAAAAGGCCATAAACCAGATGGCTCTTGCAACCGTTTCCCGCCATTGTTACAATTCCTACTTAAGAATAACAAGTTAAATAACACCTTAAGAGCTTAAGAATACTTTTTTCCAGATTAAAATACACATGAATACAAATAAAAATATTAGAATAATAATAACTTAAAACACATATTAATAATTGAAATTCGCTACATAACATTTTCTCTGATATGGAAATTATTCCCTTTTGCACTAAATGACCGAACTTTATTTGCATTAAATCTGGAGCTCGATTCCGCACGCGCGTAGGCTTTTACTTCGGGCACTTCTAATAAAAACAGAAGGATTGGAAATAACGTTTTCAAATTTATGAAAGTCTACATAACTATAACACGTATGCATACATGGTAAAACTGGAAGATCGGTGGAAGTTTCAATGGTATTTTATGAAAATTACGCTTAAAAACACTTTTCTAAGAGTGCGGACGATAATATTTGCTTTCGAATTCAGTGTAGTTTTATTTAACAACATGTGTCATAGTCTTACCCATGATGAGTCTTGACGTCACGTTGTTAACATTTCTTTGACTTTATTTTGTGATGTCATGCTTACTCCATCTAGTCTAATCTCCACAGTTTTAATGCTGAAAATAGTCTCTCATAAGTTTTATTTGATACGGATAAAGTTAAATATTTGGGCAATACGGTTTCTGTATTTGGAAATGTGGATACAATTTTTATGGCCTCTAGAAACTGTAGCATGTAAGATGGCAATGTTAAATTTTGACTTTTACAAATGAACAGAATAACTGGACGAGCAATAATTCCTCGTCCAGTTCTTTAGCTTTTGTATCTCTGTCTTCACCACTACCATTTTTCACGACCTCCTCTTCATCACTACCTTCAATGCACCAAACTAGAGGAACTTTACTCAAATGAAAGATCTATACTTAATATAATATGGCGTATTCCACCTAGGCACCAATGGTATACAGGAACATCCCCTGACTCTCTACTGGAAGTCAAATGTGACTGCTCTGGTTAGACTAACAAGTGGCCACCTTAAATGTCTTTACATTGATAGTGGCAGAAAAAGCTACCCCGCTTGTAAAAAATGCTATGACCATCCGTCTTCACCGGATCACATATTGGGTGGCATTGAACTTACTAAGGAGGATTTAGCATCTGATCCCCTCACTGTTATTGACTTTTTTGGCGATCAACAACCTTCTGGAGCTGATCTGACATATGTCAGATCTTTCGAGGATAAGCAACAAAAACATGCGGTTTGTTAAGACCTATTTGATATTTCGGCATCTAAATCTGTAGCAAATATTTAAAAAATCTCATGTTCTTGTAACTTTTTTACTAAGATGTTTTATTTCAAAAGCTATTTTGTCACAAATTTCATAGAAACAATTATTAAAGGCTTAAAAAGTAAAGGTTTTTTTTGCTCTCTACTTTGAGTACAAGACTTTGACAGGTAGCTAGGATAACAAAGGGTGTAGTAGTAGCGTAGGTGACACAATGGGCACTAGAAATTGTAACTTAATATTAAATTTTGTTTAGTTACAAAACTAGAAACTCTTTTATACTTGCTGGAGTTAGTAATTAGAATAATGTTAATAATTAGAAACTGATAAAATATTTTTATAGTTTCAAAATACATTTTGTGAGCAAGGGAAACAAAATGTAGCGGAATAAGTATTTTATTAACATTCTTTAATAAATTACACAAATAATTAAGACAACATTTTAATTTCTTTTTCTTAAATAATACTGAAACTTCTTGTACAAAAGTCGAAGACAACATGTGTAATTTTGGGAACCAAATTGCAAACTGTCACATGGAAATGAACATCCTCATACTTGTAAACGTGCTATTTTTCACAAAGTTTGAAAATAAATGGTATTTATTTAACACTGACGGGACATGGGCATATCCAACCATTAAAAACTTTATCCAGTTCGACGGCTGCTGCGACGGTCAAATGATCTTGGAATCGTCTGCTGATGGCTTGGATGCCAATGGGTATTCCTTCGTGTAATCCTGTTGGAATGTGTGTCGATGGATAGCCTAAGGTGTTGAAAATGCAGGTGTACACGATGTTTCGAAGTTTAGGAATGGTCATGAGATAATGTGGTGGCAATTCTGGGTGAGTGGGTAGCAAAAATATGGCATCATCCTGTAGAAGCTCTTCGAGTTTCGTTTTCAGGGCGTTGAATTTCTCCAAGCATTCATAATAGAATTTACTTTTTTCCCTCATATCGACCATTGCGAAATAGATGGCTGGCCAAGTGTGATCTGAACATCTCAAGAAGCTTTTAATCAGCTCCATGATTAAGTTGATTTTCGAATCTTCGGCGTCTTCGCCGGACAACATACTGGCCATTGAAGGTGATCCAATTTCCAGTAACTTGCTCTCCCAGATGTTGAAGCCGTATCTTAATTCTTCGATATTAACTTTCGTGGCAATGATCCCCTACTCGTTTTCGAAATGTTTGGCAGCCTAGAATTAAGATATCTGTCATTAGCGTAATTACTGAAAATTTTCGACTTTAGCAGTCTGAGATATACAATAATAATTTCGCGAAAAACTCTGCAATCAAGTACTTATTTACATTAACATTTCATAGAAGCGGTTATAAACCAAAGTGCTAACACGAATAACTAGTTTGTAATTAAATCATTGTATTATTGTATCTCATATATCATATACAGTTTTTAATTGAAATTTATATTATATTCCGAAAATATTCTGGATACGTAATCTAAATCTTTATTTCAGATCAATATTATTATTTAGCTGAACAATGTATTTTTATGTCAGATACTATACTCACACAGAGCGTTTTCATTAAACAGCAATTAAAAAGACTTCCCTCTGGATCGAAATTTTTTTTTCGGTATTGACAGGTAGCTTAAAAACTCTGTGTGGAAATTTGGAAAATGAGCTCTTCCTCGTAATCCAGAAACTCAGCAAAAATTCAATTTTCTAGCGTGGGTTTTAAAATCGGATTCATTTGCAGCTTCTTTTTGCAAAAATTATATTACCATAAAATTATTTAAAAATAAAAGTAACATAACATTATGGATAAGAATTTAAATATAACAAGAAAAGTATTAAATTTATTGATTTATTCTGCATTCGTAGAAGAAACTCTTAGTCTCAAAATGTTTGAAAATAATGTCAGAATTTTGCGTCATAGTATAGTTATTGCTCAATCTATAATCAACCGCAAAATACAAATATTTTCGGATCCAGATGAAAAGGCGAACACTTTATAATAAATTGACAGGAATACTTTAATATTCTCAATAATATTATAAAGTTTTATAAAAATAATCAGTAACATTTATGGTAATTTCTTTTTATGGTAATGCTGCTGTGTATAACAAACTTTCGAAAACAATAGATTATATTGTATCACTTATAACAAATAATTTCAACAATTATTTTCTTCAACTAATTTCTTTTTAAACAATAGAATATATTATATGCTTTCTATTATTTATTTCGTATATATTAATATTAACTAAATTCCACAATCATTTATAAAAAAAATCTGATGTGTACATCACATGACTTCCTTGTACGGAATATTAAATTATACGCATTTTTTCTTGCATTTCGTTTAAACTTATTGGACTGAATTAAATCTACTTCGCCGACAGCGCATAAACTACAATATAATAAATGCATTCTTTAAAATTCACTCTATTTGTTTACCATAGCGACACCCTGGTACTAGGTTCACTTATAAAGTATTTCCCCCACTTCCCTAGCGTGCCTTCGTGGTGTAACGGTAGCATGCTGGGCCGGTATTCCAGAGGTCCGTGGTTCGATTCCCGTGGTAGGCGGGTGCATATTTTTCATCTCTCTTGCTTCCAAAAAATCCTAATGACTCTACACGTTTAACAATATTATATTTCGTTCATATTATAACTCAGAATGCACAAAATTTATATCATTTAAAGAATTATCTAATCGTTGCAACAAATTCTATTCAAATACTATAATAAAGCTAGAACGATGTATAAAGAAATTCATAAACAAAACAAAAAAGAAACACTTTTTTACAGACAATTGAGTATTTCTCATTCAATTAATTCAGTTCTCACTTCGCGAAAAGGAAAAAATACATAAAAATTCAAAATATCTATATTAAAAATTACGAAGTAAATCTTAAACACTTATTTCCTTCGAAAAAATTCCAGAAAGGATTAAGCATGATTTAATTCGCAATAATAAAAGAAGGCGTTATCTTTGTTATTTGCGAAGCTTAGTTTCTCTAGATTGGCAACAAATCTACTATTCTGCTGTTTCAAATGTAAAACAATCAATGGCCGCGCATAAAAAAAATTACTAGGCTTAGCCTCGGCACTTAAACAACTTTTAAATTGTTGATAATTCTAAAAATATTGCATACAGATTCACTAAAGGCATAAAACCTTAACCGGGAAGATAAGAACGAACATAATTCAATCATTTTTAAAACAAAAAATGTACAATTTACAAACATATAAGAGTAAAGAAACTGAGATCACTGAGCCGGGTAACAGAGTGGATATATTTTATAAATATATTTATATACGTTTGGTGCGGCCGATTGCAACGAAAATACGAAGTGCACATCTACATGTTATAGCAGTCCTATATACAAAATTTCAACGTTCTGAGGCTACTCGTTTTTGAGTTATGCGAGATACGTACGTACATACGTTCGTACAGACGCCACGAAAAATTCTCTTCAGAATTAATTTTAAAGCAGTTTTACAATTTTTTTTTTTTTTTTTTTTTTTTTTTTTTGGAGGAGGAAAAGAGTATTTTATTCTTTCCTTACGTACAGATATCACGCAAAAACATAGTTAGATTGCATTCGATAGCCGTCAAAATGGATATTTTCGTTGAAATATGCTGCCTGAAACTTGAACTATTGAAACTATTGAATTAATCTTGAACTATTGAAATGTATTAAAATCAAGTTGAAATGTATATCAAAATTAACTCAACGTAGAATGTCAATGCAATGAAGACTATAAATAACATTCACTGTCACGTAAACGTCATGTAAAAATATCGCAGTCATCTAAAAATATTCATTGTAAAAACTCATGCAAAGAATACGTAATATCCACTGTCTTGTAAAAATATCGCAGTCATGTAAAAATGTTCATTGTAAAAACTCATGCAAAGAAGACTACACGTAACATCCACTGTCATATAAAAAAATATCGCAGTCATGTAAAAATATTCATTGCAAAAACTCTCTGTAAAAAGGATCTTCTCAATAAATTATTTCCACTGGGTGGGCTTTTCCCATTAGGTACATGTAATTTTATTATTCTTTGCTGCTTTAGTGAAGTTGATAATTTCTCTTGGTTATAAAGTAATATCTAGTTTATGTATTAGATGGTTGCATTCTGGATTCATTTGTTTTTAGGGGACTATATATGGCTTTATATTTGACCTTCACTTTTCGTTTCCTATTTAATTTGTATTGCTTAGATCACCGTATTTTTACTGTACTGTAAAATGTTTTTCATCAAAACTGTGTTTTTTTATGCCAAATTCATTTCATTTCTTTTCGACTCTTTTAAATTTGTTATACCAATCATAGACAGATTTTCTGCCAACAGGATCAACCAAGTAACTTTTCTAAATTTAGAGAACCTTCGAGCTGCAAACAACTCGAATCCGTCAGTGGTAACAAACACCTTGGAAATGCGGTGGGAACTTTTGTTCTACGACGACTACCTTTTTACTTTCTTGTACGAAGTAAAAAGGAAGTATTGTAATCGCGAAAAGCTTCAGGCAGCATATTTCAACGAAAATATCCACTTTGACCGCTTTCGAATGCAATTTAACGATGTTTTTGCGTGATATCTGTACGTAAGGAGAGAATAAAAGACTCTTTTCCTCCAAAAAAACTAAAAAACTGCTTTAAAATGAATTCTGAAGATAATTTTTCGTGGCGTCTGTACGAACGTATGTACGTACGTGCGTGCGTACGTACGTACGTATCTCGCATAACTCAAAAACGAGTAACCTCAGAACGTTGAAATTTTGTATATAAGACTACTATAACATGTAGATGTGCACCTCGTATTTTGGTTGCAATCGGCGCGTCAAACGTATATAAATATATTTATAAATATATCCACTCTGTTACCCAGCTCACTGATCTCAGTTTCTTTACTCTTATATGTTTGTAAATTGTACATTTTTTGCTTTAAAAATGATTGAATTATGTTGTTTTTATCTTCCGGTTAAAGTTTTTATGCCTTTCGTAATTCTGGAAGAAATATTTGTACAATTATCAACAATTTAAAAGCTGTTTAGGTGCGGTTAAATTTTAAATAACATGGCGGACATATTTGTTTACATTTGAAACAGCAGAATTGTAGATTTGTTGCCAATCTAGAGAGACTGAATTTTTTCGAGGAAATAAGTGTTTAAGATTTACTTCGTAATTTTTAATATAGATATTTTGAGTTTTTATGTATTTTTGCCATGTCGCGGAGTGAAAACTGAATTAATTGAATGAGAAATACTCAATCGTCTGTGAAAAACTGTTTCTTTTTTGTTTTGTTTGCTTAATTTCTTTTATAGATCGTTCTAGCTTTGTTATAGTATTTGAATAGAACATGTGGCAACGATTAGATAATTCTTTAAATGATATAAATTTTGTGCATTCTGAGTTATAATATGAACGAAATATAATACTGTTAAGTAAACCTAGCGCCAGAGTGTCGCTATGGTAAACAAAGTGAATTTTAAAGAATGCATTTATTCTACTGTGGTTTATGTGCTGTCGACGAAGTAGGTTTAATGCAATCTAATAAGTTTTAATGAAATGCAAGAAAAAATGCGTATAATTTAATATTCCGTACAAGGAAGTCATGTGGTGTACACATCCGATTTTTTATTTCAGACATATGGAATCCTCTCTCGTGCTTTCAGCAGTGGTTCAAAACTCACTTCGTACTCCTCCACGTAATCATCACTTGTAGGTGAGCCTTCGTGGGCATAATCCTCTCAATGCCCACGAAGGGCGATGTTTTGAATCTTCTCAAAAAGTAAACATACCGTTGAGAATCAACTCTTATGTCTACTTTAAAGGGTAATAATGTATTTCATGAACTTAAATTTTAGTCACGATGTACATTGTACCCAATTACTCCTGTACTGTGCAGCCCATGCTCTCGCAACATTCCCCCCCCCCCTTTGGATATTTAAATGACTTTTTTATCCAATACTCTGATGTTGGGGAAAGTAAAAGATAGATATGAAATAGCATCGTCAAAAAATATTGTGCATTAACCTTTCTGACGGCTACTTTAATCGGCCAAATAGCAGAATTCAGATATCCAGGCACTTCTTCCATGTAGTACACTTTCACGTTGCGGAAATTCACCTGAAAGGGAAACGGAATTTGGATTAACATTGGCATAACAAGGTGGTTTTCTTTTGAAAATTACTTTTCAATTTTTGAACACATTTCGGTACATTGAATAGAACCGGAATTATCCTTTTTAATAATATTTATAACTATTAAGTATAAATTGCAGATACAGCAAAGATTTTAAATTTTTAAACTAATATGCAATAAATACCATTCTAAATTATAAAAACATTAAATGTTTTAAAGAGATATTATTTAAAAATCTCCGTATGTCTTCTCAAGGACTTGTGGAAATATAATCGAGGTTTCATGTTAACGAGCTTGAAATATAATCGAGGTTTTCATGTTAACGGGCAGGTAAGCAAATCACCACACCACAACCCATGTGAAGGAATGCTTTCACGAAAATGGGCTTTTACTCATTTTTCAGGCATTGGCTTAGCGGCAAAATATTTATTAATTACATTTAATTAAAAAATAATTACATTTACTATATTTTCGATTTCTTACTATGAAAGTGACCGTGTAAAGTATTTTTATATATTTTAATTAACCAGTTATTTTATGTTATGGATCTTTACTGTCATTTTTAACCTTTTCGTTTTGCTTGGGCGTATTTAAATGATGTAGTATTTAAAAGAAGGTTTTTAGATTGCTTCGGCAGAGCCTGTTCCGTCTGCTGAAAGCTACTTTACTACTAGTTGCTATTATTTATTGGCAGCCTGTCTTGAAGATTCCAATTTTAATTTAAAGAATTCGATTGCGAATTCCACTGAATTTAAATTGGATCCATGCGAACAATACCATAGTATTATATCCTACACATATAAACATTAAAATCCTGTTATTGTTGTTGTTCATTTGTCTGACAGAGACATCAGAATGAGCCCACGAAATTTCTCGTGGCAAGGAGCGCAAGATACGCCTGCCATTGGCAACAGCCATGAGCACCATACTGGTGACTGTGCGATTTAGCTAATTTCCGCCTCCAATTTTGATGTAGGGAGGGACGTGTCCGAGGATTCCACCCCTTTCCCCTTCCACCAAACCACACGGCGAGCTTTCGGCTCGCCACATATTTAGAGTGCCGCCCTGCCGCACCAACTCATACGTTTACAAACATCCGTGCATTCTCCGGGATTCGAACACGGCGCCTTTGGCAAAACAGTCAGCGACAACTTTGGCACAACTGTACCGGTTAGTCAGCATAATTATGTTATGATCATGTAATAAAAGTCATGATATTAAATTTTCGATTATTTTTTTCTTTTCTAAAGATTGGTATAACGTATTCAAAGTACTCTGCTTTCACCGAGCCTGTTTTAAATTTTGAGATACAATTGTAAAAGTTTTCAAATATGAGACGAATGGCCATATCCTGAAAATGTAGCTGTTAAGACGAGGATCTCTTGCTATCTTTCTTCGTACTGATTTCTTTTAATGGAATGCATTGGTTTCTTTTACGGTAATGTATACCAAACATTGGTCACATTTTAGAGTTTACAAAAACCATTGTTTGTATAATAACTATTTAGAGAAATGAAAAGCATGATTTCTTTAGCTCAAACTTAAATGTTGCAAATAATTAAACTTACTTTTTCGTTAAGTCGCAGTCTTCGATCGTTATCTGACAGTACTTTAACAAGTAGCAAAAGATCCTGCGCATATCTGCACATTGGACCCGTGCTGATGAAATCGTTTAACTTCCCTTCAGTATTCTGCCAGTATTTTCTATTTGAAATTACACCTGAAAAGAAATAAATAAGCAAATCCAATAGTGGTAAAACGGCAAGTGTTTCAAGTTTTTACATATCAGGCAAAAATAACAGTACGACAACTTGAAAATAAATGACCAGTAAATTTGGAAAATTACATACCATTAAATAAAAGAATTATATCACATTGAGCGGAAACACTTATTTTCAAAAAAGAAAGAGGCTCACTGATAACGACAAAAATCATTTGTCTTTTGCCACAGCAACCAGTTTGCAAAAACGTCCATTATAATTTCTCAGTATGGAATTTAAAATTTAAGTCATGAAAGGAAAAAACAGATAAATTACCCCACTGTTAATTATTATTATTCCCTTTGGCTATTCTTTAATCCTTAGCTGTTGTATTAAGTTTAGACATAGGTTTCATGTCTGTTGGCCTTCATATTCGTTGATTTTGTTTTAGCCCAAAAGGCGTTATTAATTCTGTTGTGGTATTTTGCGTCGAATCACTATGAACGGTATATCACTTTTCAAACTGTTGCCACCAAATGTTAGAGCCCTGCATTATATTTCAAGAAATTAAATAATGAAGAATTTGCATAAATGCATGTATGTTTATCGCATTGTGATAAAATAACGGTATCTATAGCCATCAAATTTTGACTATTGAACATTTCCACCCGAATATGGGCATTTGGAAGCCGAAATTTGGAATTTGTTTTATTATCAATTTCATATTTTGCTAAATTTTTTCACGAATTTTTCACTAAAAAACTCAGGGATTTCAAAGCGAGCAATGGGAACGTTGTGCAGAAAAAAAAAAAAAAAAAAAAAAAAAAAAAAAAAAAAAAACATTTTTATCTCCAACGCGAGAGACTGTGTATCGGAAATTTTAAGGGTACGCACATTTTAAAATTATTTTGCGATATTGCTCTTGAACTGAATTTTATGGTTTAAGTGAGAAGAACATGATATTTAATAAATTAAGGTAACACACAAAATGTAAAAAAAAAAAAAAAAAAAAAAAAAAAAAAAAAAAAAAAAAAACCTCCCCTTGGAACGTAATTTTAAATCTGAAACCTTTCAGATTTTCTTTCTTCTTTTTTTTTTTTTTTTTCCCTGATTATTTAGAAAAAAAAAATATGTGTGTGATTTTGCAGTTGAAAAGAATTTTATGGTTTAAGTGCAAAGGATATGATATTTAATAAATAAAAGTAACACTCAAAACGTTGAAAAGCCCCTTATGACGTAGTATGAAATCTAAAAACTTTCGGTTTTTGTTTGTTTCAAGTTTAGTCGGTTATAACCAAGCACATTAGGGCAATCTGCTCAAGGGCAGGGATGCCTTTGTGTAGGAATCCTTAAGGGAAACTGGTTCGTTTGCACAATATACATTGAGAAAACGCCCATGCAGCTATCCAGTTGGCCTGGAATCGGAACAATCAGTGTTCAGTGATTTTGCCGCTCGGCCGCTGGTGGGATAATTTTCGTTGAATGAACAGTGACACATTATATGCAAAATTATGAAGCTTTTCGATTTAATACAAGATAATACCAGTTTGGTTCGGTAAAAACGCTTTGGTGGCTGAGAGTAGAAATATAACCTCAAAGAGTTAATTTATGTTTCTTCTGATAACGTTACGAAACAAGTATCTTCAAATGTTGAATAAGATAGTTTAGAAAGTTACCATAGTTATGAAAATCTGTAAAACTCAGCTTATCATATGAATTTCAGAGTTAACAGTCAAAAGCTATTTGCATATCGCATCTCTTTGTTTTTCATTTATTTTCCTCTATCCTTCTCTCCTTTATTTACCGCTGTTGGACTTAATATTTGTTCATGGGATAATTTGATTCTCAAGGAACAACATTATGCTCTTGATCTCTTGAAGTATATTCAGACTTAGTCTTTTGAAATTAAACAATCTATACTATTTTACTTCCCTGTACGAAGTAAAAAGGAAGCATTGTAATCGCGAAAAGTTTCAGGCAGCATATTTCAACGAAAATACCATTTTCACCGCTATCGAAAGCAATTTAACGATGTTTTTGCGTAAAAGGACCCTTTTACCCCCCAAAAAATTGTAAAATTAATTTTAAATGAATTCTAAAGAGAATTTTTCGTGGCGTCTGTGTGTACGTACGTATGTATCTCGCATAACTCAAAAACGAGTAGTCTCAGAACATTAAAATTTTGTATATAGGACTGCTATAACATGTAGATGTGCACCTCGTATTTTGGTTGCAATCGGCCGCACCAAACATACATAAATATATTTATATATATATCCAATCTGTTACCCAGCTCAGTGATATCAGTTTCTTTATTCTTATATTTTATGTTTGTAAATCGCGCATTTTTTTTGCTTTAAAAAGATTGAATTATGTTGTTCTTATCTTCCGGTCAAGGTTTTTATGCCTTTAATAAATCTGTCTGCAATAATTATAGAATTATCAACAATTTAAAAGTTGTTTAAGAGCCGCTAAGCCTAATGTATTTTGCGATGGCGGACATGTTTGTTTACATTTCAAACTTGGCATAATAGGGGATTTGTTGCCAGTCTAGAGAAGTTTCGCAACAACAAAAATAACGCCTTCTTTTATTATTGCGAATTAAATCGTGCTTAATCCATTCTGGAAATTATTCGACGAAATATGTGTTTAAGATTTACTTCATAATTTATAATACAGACATCTTGAATTTTAATGTATTTTTGCTTTGTCGCAAAGTGAAAACTGAAATAATTGAATGAGAAATACTGAATCGTCTGTGAAAAACTGTTTCTTTTTTGTTTTGTTTGCTTAATTTCTTTCGTACATCGTTTTAGATTTATAATACTATTTGAATAGAACATGTGGCAACGATTAGATAATTCTTCAAATGATATAAATTTTGTGCATTCTGAGTTATAATATGGACGAAATATAACGCTGTTAAGTGAACCTAGCGCCAGATTGTTGCCATGGTAAACAAATATAGTGAATTTTAAAGAGTGCATTTATTCTATTGTGGTTTATGCGCTATCGACGATGCAGATTTAATTCAATCCAATAAGTTTAAATGAAATGCAAGAAAAAATGGGTTTAATTTAATATTCCGTACAAGGAAGTCATGTGCGCACACATCAGATTTTTTAATTTTAGAAGGTCAGAGAAGTGTTGTATTTAAGGGAAATACTCAGATTGCATAAAAATTAAATAAATTAATGAACAGGAATATATATTCATATTATGAAACTTCCCAACGACTTTAACAAAGGTTATTGCAGGAACTTGAGGCTTTAGGTTGTAAGAAATTATCGCGTTCTCTCATGCGTGCTCTCATGTTGAAGATAATTAGGGCGTCCAAGTAATACTGCAAGATTAAATTAAATCTATTTATGATAAGCTTTTATTTAGTTCCCGTTTCACTGTGATTTGTTCTCGATTTTTAACCTACTTCTTCATAAGTTATCGAGTTTAAATCTTGCACACACACACTGTTTGTCGATGACAACGTAATGTGGTGAGGCGATTCTTTCAAAATTCGATTTAGTTTTTCTATTAGATGTTTAAACGACATTTGGCACATCTCTTTGTTTAACGAAGAAACTAAGCATATCGAAATTTGACTGCTTGAACCATCGAATAGAGGGAGAAAAAAACATTTTCAATAAACTTGTATTAAAACTGTAACTTAATTTCTGAATGCTTAGCGAGTTTTTGAAAACCATTGTATTTTTTAGACTATTTAACAGTCATAATTTTAAAATTTCAGCAGGTAAAATGTATCAGGTATACAGTTTTGAAATTTCCATTGATTAGAATATTTTCGACCTGCTTAGAAACAAGCATGTTAATAAAAAATTGATTGAAGGATCCTTCTGTTCACTTTTTTAACCTTTTTAGTTTTTACTTTTTTTTTTCTGTACCTTTTCGTGCTGCAGTCTGAGGAAGATGGGGGGAAAAAAGTGTTTCCCTCAGAAAATTACTTTTGAGTTTAACATCTTGGCGGACTTAATGACAAATTGAAGATATTCGTTTTTTTCATTTTAGCTTCAAGTAAAATGCTTGTTGTTGCACTGTTATTATATCAAATCTTCGAAGCTAAATATTTAAGATTTTATATTTGATAACGTGTACCTGAGACTAAAAAACAGAAATAAAATACAATTAAAAAGTGTATACAGTAAAAAAGTTTATACAGTAAGCTTTTACTTAAAATGGATATGATAATTAATATACTAACAGAAGAAAAATAATTTAGCATATAGTTCAATGTTCAATGGGTATTCTAGTTAAATACTACTTAGCATATAGTTCAATGGGAATACTAAATTAAAGATTTCTTTTTACAGAATTCATCTATAATTTCATATTACGAATAATAATAGCGTCGGGTGCCTAAAGAACAAAATTTACTAATTTAATTGCATTGCCAAACGTATAAGCCATTACCTTCTTAACATTTCTAATAATTTAATTCCACTATCAAACATACAAGCCATTATCTTTTTTAATTTATCATGAGCGCCCTAAGCTTATTAAATTATTAGTGATATAAAACTGAAGATGCAAAGAGAATTCTTTAATCTGTTATTCCTTAAAATATATTGTTATTTGCATACGTGTTCGTTATGAATTGAATGCAGAAGTCCTATGAAAAGTAATTAAAATTTATTGTTATTATCACAACAAATAAAACCAAATGCTTAAAGTTCCGCAGATATTCGTACAATATCTCACAGTAGTTATCTTTTAAACTACTAAAACGTTAAATAGAACTCAATGCAAAACAGAGTAAGCTAATCCCATTTCACCGGGAATTCGCTACAGTAAACAACAGCTATTTTCTAAACAAACTCATAAAACAAGTTCCAAGTTACACTTATGCCGAGATTATCAAGCATTCTGCTCGATGTGTTCCGGCTGTCATCAGATGTTTGCTCTTTGGGAGCTGAAAAAAGAATAAGTGTGAGTCCAGAAGGGCAGGAGCTAATGGCGAAGGGGCGTGACCAGTTGTCACGTGGGCTGCAAGCTGACTTATCATTGG